GTTCGAATTAGAACAGTTCGATTTTGTCCTTGTTCTGTTTTGATACTTGTTCGAGAAAGACACTGTTCTGATTTGAATCAGTTCGACTTTAGGCCTGTTCGATTTTGAAAACTTTCGAATTCGTCGTACCCCCAAAAATTGATTTCTATTGATTTCAGTGGGGATGCCTAAACGATCATACGAAACGAGGTTGTCCAAAAAAAATCTACTGTTACAACAAGTTGTTGAAAATTCAGATTTATAAATAACCCCACTGGTGTCCCGTTGTTGGATTTAGCTAGAATTCCTTTAGAGCTCAAATGTAATAACTAGATAACGAATCTTCAGGGTTGCAATCTGACGGGCTGGCCGGCCCGAGGGAAAAAAACCAGATCCCGGCCCGGCCCGGCCGGCCGGCAATTAATTAATATTTGAACGCGCGCCATTTTTATTTGCAATTTTATTTTTATTTTTTATTTGATCTTGTCACAAAGTTAATGCCATCAGCTATTCCCTCCACTACTCAACCCACCTCATCGCAGAAGTCAAATCTAATTGCAAAGTTATATCATTCGGTCAGTGACCAAGCGAACTCAACATCCACTTCTTCGGAAATCTCAAGATATCTCTCCGAGTACTACGATCCTTCAACGAACGAATCGGTTGAGGAGTATTGGAAAAGAAAAAGATTCGAATACCCCGGACTGTACTCAGCAGCACTTTTCGTTTTTTCGATTGTTCCCAGTGAAGCCATGTGTGAGACTACGTTCAGCACTGCGTCGTTTTTGTTAGATAAAACAAGAACAAGATTACTGTACAAGCGTGTGGAGATGGTCGTTCTGGGTTCGCAAATAGCCACGAAATTTCCACACTGTCTCGACTGATTCTCTCACTAATTGTAGTGATTTTTCTAGTTAATTTTATGTTACTTTTCTATCTTTTTTGTTGGATTGGTTGATATGAGCTTTAATTTTCTCCCCCGGTTTCCATTTCTTTGTTTCCCCTTGTTCATTTATACGGTTATTACATTGTTATGCTACTTGTTAAGAAATAAATTCAAATAATTCTTCAGTTTTTTCTTAAATTTGAACGGGCCGAACCGGCCCGGCCGGATGCAACCCTGCGAATCTTCAATGTGTTTAACATCAACAAAACAATCTATGTAGTTGCAATTTGAGAAAACAGTCATTCTTACAACCCTTAGGACCCAAAACAATGAATGCACAACAATAGGATAGTGCCATGTAAACTCACAACGATCATGTATCTTCTTGAGTAACTATGTGAAGAGAAAATCAAAAAAGGTAGGAAGGTTGGGAATGAGGTGCTTCAGGAAATCCAAAACATTTTCGAAGTCTGATACCGGGTTCATTAATTTCTTCATATATGGAGATTAAAAAAGAACAGTACATTGTTTCAGTCATTTTCAATCTTAATTTTTGACGATTTAGGACTCTACAAACAGTTTCGGTGTTTGGGCCCGCGTCACTTCGAAACTGGGAAGTTCGAAACCGCGGTCATCCAACAACAAGTTTTTTCAAATATGACTTTCTGGTAGAAAACATTCTGAATTTTAAAAGTAAAAAAAACTAACTCAAAACCTGTCAAAAAACATTTTCTTTTGGCGAACAGAATCTTATTGTTGACCTCACAACCCCACAAAAAGTTGAACCCATCCAAAATCCCTATATTGCTCATCTCCCATGACAAATAGTTCTTCAAAACTCAATTCAATTGAGTCAATTGTAGCACGTTCTCTTTCATCTCTTATTTTTGTCTCTATATTGTCTGTCACCAGGTGCTAACCTCTCTCTTCCATTGCTAATATCCCAAAATTTGTAGCGAGTTTTACCATTTTACTTACCGTAAAACCTCTAATAGAACGACGAAAAAAAAACGATAGATGTTCGCATGGCTAATTGGCACTTTTTCCCTTTGTCACAGCCCAAAAAAAACATAGAAAACGATTGAAAGTGATGAAGATATGGGAATAGGAAACTAAAAAAGCGGGTTTTTTTCAACAACAAATTGTTTATGGATTCACAGAAGTTCCTTACAAAATAATACCGTATGCAGTCGAATTAAAAGACATATTGTTCGAGCCAAGCTTTATTAGGAAATAAGCTGAAAATTCAATATAAAAT